AACCAAAATAAAGCTTTCTCCTTTAAGTTGTGGGTGTTGGATATTGGTGTCTCAGTGATGAGAAATAACCAAGGCATATACTTTAAATTTTAATGGTGTTTGCCTGCTGAAATTACTAGGCTAAATTTTATTCCCATAAGGAAAGATGCTGAAAATATTTATTGCTCAGTCACTTGAGATTATCATATTTTTACATTTCTGGTACCCCAATATGTGAGAATAAGCATCATAAGGTTATTTTCATTAAGATTTTTGAGTTTATAAGTGAGGTTCAGCATCTCTTTGTTTACTGGCCGTTTGGAGTTTCTTTTTCAAACAATAGCATGTTAGGGATCTATTTTTCTACTGAGTTTGTCTAATGTGTAAGAGGTTTTTATAAACACTAAATACTAACCTTGTCTTTAAAAGTAAACAATTGTTTTTATCCAAAATGGTCTATTCAAATTGTCTTTATTTTTATGCCATTACTTATCATAAAAATATAATTTAAAATACTCAATTCATCAGTGTCTTTATTGATTTCACTTTTGGTTTTATTTATGCACAGCCTCTGAAAACCATATTATATTACTAGACACACAATGGTGTTCCTGTAACACTTGCTACACAATTGGAGAATAAATGAAATTATATTTGTACCTCCTACAACACACGCATACACACACACACACACACACACACACACAAATTTCAACCAGATTTGAAACTTGAAGGGAATATCCACACTTAAGAGTGAAACTGCACCTGAATATCACAGGCCCTAGTCACATCCACCCTATACAATGATGGCCTGGTTTAGGATTAGACTACATACACTCACCTGAAATTCTAAAAAAACAAACTGCATTAGTCACCCTAATGAGAATCCATTTACTTGTGAATCTAATAATAACATTATGTAGAATCTTTAAGCCTAATGTATTTTGCCTTTGATGAAAAAACATGATGACAAGCAGCATGGTGCTTTGTGCCCCTGTTTCTGTGAACATTGGGTAGCTCTCACAGAGGTCACTCCTGCATGGTGGAAAATGAATTTTGTCATAAAATCATTTTGTGAAAAAAAATTCTAGAGCAACAAAATTGAATAGTAATAAAAATGTTTAAGTGGAAGAAAGGAGTTCATTTCATGTGGTATTGAGTAACTAGGTATTCTGCAATGCAATTAATTCAATTATTGGTATCAACTTCCCAGAATGCCATCAACAAAGTGGATATGTTGGTGGAGCATGGAACCAAAGTAGGTTAAAAATGTCGCAACAGGCTTTTTTTTTTTTCTAATGGCTTCATATCCTGTAAAAAGCATTAATTTTCAAGAGGGTGATTATGGTTTGCCTTTTATGTATCATTATGTCTAATTTGTTTTATCCTCCAACAGTGAAATTATTTTCTTCCTCCAATTATATGACAGACATAAATGAATATTCAAATAAAAAATCTCACTGGTTTAATTTGCCCAACCTCTGCTCCACCATAAAAGTACATACTTTATTCTGAACTAAATGGGTACAAATAATAACTGGCCTTTATATCTTTGTAGGTAATTTATCTAAAAAATTATTCTTGGAATTAAAGTACCCTTCTTTTCCCAGGAAGGTAAGCAGGAGGGTGATCCTGTCTGTGAAAAGGCAAAAAAAGCGTTATGCTTGAAAACAAATGGTTCAATATATCTTTGGCCTTCGCTAATTATTTCTCATGAGGAAGGTGTACAGAGTGTGGATGGCTAGGAAAATTTGAGCTATTGTGCCTAATAGAATGAAATCTGAAATTTGTTGTTTGGATATTATATAGTTGTTCATATGACTATTCACTTTTTTAAATAAGGAGATTTAGATTCATTTCATAAAGGAATTGAAGAAAAAGGAGAATCCAAAATATGAAGAATCGTTCTGACCTAGATTTCTTCTCATTCCTAGATAAAATAATTAGCACATAAAATTTTAAGAAAACATAAAGTTAATTCTTTGATTATCTAGATCTTTTTAAATTGCAGAGACAACTTTTAACATTGTCTCTAGCCCAGGGGATCTTGCTTTCTCCTCTATACATGAAACAACCCCACCCCAGACAATACTATCTGCATCCCAAGCACCAAAAGCACTGGGGCAGCACACTGGAACTAATTAGCTCTGGAAGCAAACTAGCCCTGCAACTGAGCCAGGACACCACCCTGGGAGCCTGCATTGTCAAGATGACTCAGGAATGTGAACAACACAGTTCATATAAACCTAGGTTTTACCAGTAAACATGGGAGTCAATCCAGAATTAGGCCTAAGGAAATTCCTCTTATTTCCACTTTTTGAATATGTGCAGTCACAATTTCTTGGCTGTTTCTACAAACCTATTTGACTCAAACTAACAGGAGTGGTATGTGAGAGATACGCTTTATTTGCCTTCACCTTTAGAGAGGTGAGAAGATGCCAAAGGAGCAGGTATTGTTATCATGTGACATAGCATATATAGAGAATAAAAACTGTTGATAAAAGTGGAGTGGGCTAGGGTCTGGGGATTTAGCTCAGTGGATCTTCTGCTTGCCTTGCAAGTGCAAGTTCCTGAGTTTGATCCCCAGGACAAAATAAAAGCAAAAGTGAAGTTGGCTAGTTTAAAACAATATCAGGACTAATGTTTAGTGCCTTTTGACACATCTATATTACTACTGCTCACACTGTAGATACTTTCTGTCAGTTGAACCATTACCTTGCTTAAGCCACAGATATGTGGAATGGAAAATGTGGATGAAAACATAAAAAGATTTCAAAGGTGTACATCCAAATATAGTGTTTCCATTAATAAATAGTAATAAGAATACATACCTCTCCTGGTTAATTTAAGGACAAATAACACACATAGCGTGCTTAAATTTGTAGTGGTTATATGATAGACTTAAGAAATCATAGCTATTATTGTAAATACATGAAAATGGCATATAGACTTGAATCATAGTAAGACAAATCACTATAAAGATACAATTTTTCTAAAAATGCTTAATGGAAAGAAATTTTGAATATACTACTGAATTTTTAAATGAAACGAGACTGTTTATACTTCATGAGAAAATAAAAAGTATTTTTCATTTGTTTTCCTAACTAGGTGTTGGAAATTCTTGAAAGGAAATTAGAGCTGTTTCTTAAAACTACGCTATTATCTCTATGCACCTGAATGCATTAAGAATAAACTCATACTTTTAAAGTAGCAAGTACTGAACATGAAAAGAGAAGTAAATAGAGAAATAAAAAGTCCCTGAGGTAGAAAGTTGGCTTAGGTAGCCAAGTCTTCCTGACAATATGGCCCAGTCACTTATAAAGGAGGCACAACACAAGGCAAGAGCAACAATAAGTAAGAAGATTCCAATTCCAAGAAAATTCTACACAGGACTAACTGCTGAGCCTCCTGAGGCTCCAGCATAATAGGAAGGGGGAAGAAGAGCTCATGAGAATTGAAGGATAATAGAAGGCAATATACTTAGGAGAATAAAATGATCTTCTACATGAAAAATGTAAAAGCAAGAAGGGATATGAGAATCAATGAAAGCGTACGATTTGGGCCTGTGGAGCTAAGTAGATGAGGTGACAGAGTCTGTGATGGAAAAAAAAAGATGGGGGATGAAGAAGAGACCTTGAAAGCAAAATAGGAGTTCAGTATGAGCTATACTGAGTGTGATGCTTTCTATGCACACAGTTATGTGAAGTCCAAATGGAAGCTAAAAATATTGATTTATAGCTCCAGAAAATAGGCATTGGTGCTGAAATGATATACACATACTAGGCTACTCAAGTTATGGGAATGTTAAAAATAACAGAGAAGAGAAAAAATGACTGTGCTTCATTGTTACCTCATTAAATGTGTGTTTCCTTGTTAGTCTGAAGTCAGCCACCAGTGTAATCCTGGAGTGTGTGTGTGTGTGTGTGTGTGTGTGTGTGTTTAAATATCAAGCTATTTTTTTATTTTAGAAATTAAATATCACCTATTTTACGTCTTAGAATAGATTTCTGAATTCAAATTTTGATCCTATTTTATAATTATTGGATAAACTAAGGCAAGTAGTAAAACCTTTATCACCACTGAATGCTTCACTTTAGAAAAGACAAACAGCAATACCTATGTTACTGTGGGCATAACTGAGATTATGCATGTAATGTCTAGCTTCATATCAATCACAATTCTACTGCCTTCTAGGTACTGCTAGAGTTATTAAGTTCATTTATATCATGGCCTGAGTGTGCCTTTCTGAGTTCTGTATTGTCAATTTGATTTTATGCTGGCAAAATTTTAGTTCAGAAATCATCCACTTATAAAGTTGAAATAAAAACCTAATGCATTTTCTGGCCCTTAAGAAGGAAAATTTTATTTCCGATTTTATTTCCATAACTGGATGGCCTTTGGGGATTATCCCCAAAAGGACTTTTAGGAGAATTTAAGGTTCTTTCTCCACTCATTCCCTGCACTCGTGAGAATACAGAATTAATTGTGATGACTTTGTCAAGCTCTAGAGCACCACAAAAAGATGCTTCTGAGTAGCAGGATTTGGCAATGAAGGAAATACCAGAGTACTTTTCCAGATTTACCTTAGCAGTGTGGAGGCACTGCTTCAGATTACAGATATTGCACTGGATATTGTTTCAGGCATTAGCATTTAATTACGCCAGTTAATCACTTTCCAAAGAAGAAAAAGTGATTCCAATTTCTTGTTCCTCAAGTATTACCAGATTATCTAAACTGGAATATTCCCTTGCCATTAAATGGGTTTTTGCAGTTATTACTACCAGTATTTGACAGTACAATTTGACAGTTACAATTTATTCAGTCACCTGGGTTAATCTCACAAAAGAGGAAGGATAACTGTTTTCGTCACTTAAATTGAAGTAATATAAAGAGAATCACAGGATTTTAATCTGTCAATCCTCGTATCCTAAATCTTAAAGGCAAAAATATGTAACTATTCTGCAGCACCACACCGGTTAGAGTTAGAGGTTGTATTTGCATAATCCTGGGCTTTTACTTACTTCTTAGCCTTGGTGCTCTCCAAAGTAATTCCCAGTGTAGTTCTCAGGCTAACTGCAACTTCAAGTAGAAAATACTGTAATTAGATAATTCTATTCTGGCAAGGATCAGCTAAACAACAAAGCTTATGAATTCTTTGAAGAGAGTCGCTGCCTTGATAATGCATACTTGACTTTACTGACCATAGTACAGTATCCCAAACTGCTCTTCCATGATCTCTGAATTTCCATTGTATTACTTCTTTATCCCCTGCTTCCAAGGAGAGCATCTTTCCTTGTCCTTGACAGGGGCCTTATCAGACAACTGTATAATTTTTCTATCCCTAGTCCAAAGAACAACTCACTTTTTGAACTGATAATACTTTCCTGGAAAGTGTGCATTAACATAACATTTTTTGGCCTTTCTAGTTTTTATTACTTATATACTTACTGAATAATCTTGATTTTTCTCCTGGTTTTCAAATCTGTTCATTGCCTGCCTCCATTGTGTCTATGGTTCTAAATATATATTCATAAAATAAAGTTGAAGTCATAATGGAATCCTTTAGAGCCTATTCTAAGAGAGAAGAAAAGGCTATCACTCTTCTGACCAAGAAATTTCTGTTAGAACCCCAAACTTTGGAATACTCCAGAAAATGTTCAACATAACTATGTATGCTTTTCTGGTATAACAATCAGAGCAAATGTGGGAAAATATTGCATAAAAACATTATGGTGTATGAACAATTAGGAAAACTGCCTTCTGCCCAGATTGTTTAATCCAGAAGAACCAGCATATTTTTAATTATTAAATTGATTAGTTACATATTAAATGCTTAATTTAATATATTTAGGAAATTTCATGTGCAATCATACAAAATTTCATTAGAAAAGTTATATAAATAATAAGAATGAGGAGCTCAGAAACAGATAAATGAGATCTGTGAATACTGTTATTTTTTCTACAAAAATTATGATTTTTATGAAAAAGCAAGAAAATATATTTTTAAATAAAGCAATGGAAATATGGTTTGAAGCTAAGTATGAAATGCTATCCAGTCAACATAATGGGAAATAAATTTTTAGTGCCTCAGTGATGATTGAAGTATTTAGAATAATAAAACCCACTATAACGGTTTTCTAAAATTCTTTGAAAATGTGTTCATTAATTGAAATTGTACACATAAATTACTTCTCTAAATATTAATTTTCATTTCCTTATAATCTTCTCACATCTATACTTTTTTCTCTCCAATTCCACATCCCAGAGGTTATAGACATCGCCTAGGCCACATCCACCTCCCAGCACTCTTTCTTTCTCCCTCTCATATGTGAATGTTCTGATACACAAACACCAGCCTCTGCCCTTCTTCACGGTAGGCATCTATGAAATCTCTAGCTCCTCTTCTTCATAACCTGAAGATTCTAGCTCAAGCATCACCTACTTTCTCTCCTCTATTAATCTGCTCTTGCTGTTTTGTTTTGTTTTTGGCAAATTCAACACTTACATAGATCATCAAAACAACCCTCTAGGTTCATATTTCCTTTACTCTTCTTTGATTTCTAATAGCCATTTCTATTTATTCATTTTGGCTAACCAATTTTCTTATGCGTACAAAACACTGCACCATCTCTAGTGTAATACATTCTGGCTCCATTTGAATGTCCCGCCCTGGTCACTTGATTACGCTTTCAATTTCCTTCTTCAGCTTAATGTTCAAGTTCCACTTCAATTGTTGCTTTAATTATACAATCTTTCCACTATGTCCCTTTCCACTAATATACCTTGCTGCTAAACTTTTAGCATAGTGCTTTATAATATTTAAAGGTTTTTTGATGACGTGGCACTCACATAATATGAAAGGCAGAAGTTCTTATAGCTCCAAGCCAAAGAAGGACGTCAAGCAGGGGTGCACAAAAGCTTTCGCTTGTGTACAGAGTAAAAAGCATGCTGAAACTACAGGATGTAGCTTTTGTATGGCAAATAAGGCACAATTAGCTAGGTTTTTCAGGGTCCCTCTGGATTGGTTCATTTGAGTAAGTTCATAGGAGCTTTTCCTTGTGTAAGTACCTGGCACTGGGTTAGTAGAGCCAGTACAGTGCGCTAGTGTATGAGAGCCAAACAAGAGAAATGGCTGGTGATGTGGACTTGTTCACAAAGAGTTGACCAGCTTCTAAACAGGACATGATTATGGGATACATTAAGGTAATTCAATATATGTATGAAATGTGTAACAATCAAATCAAAAAAATAAGTATTTCCATTTCTTCAAGCATTAATCATTTTTTCTGTATTGGAACTTTTGTGGTTTTCTAGTCATTTTCAAATACAGTATAGAATGTTTGAAATTATAGTTACCCTAATGTGCTAAAGAAGAACAAGAAGCAATTTTTCACTCTGTATTTTGATGTTTTGTTTTGGTACTGGGGATTGAACTCCTTGTGCTTGCGAGGCAGGTGGCGGAACCATTGAGCTAAATCCCCAGCCTTGTTTTGGTGCTTCTTACTGAATTTCTTTCTCCCCACAACCCCCTACTCTTCCTAGTGACCATTGTTCCAGTCCACCACTCCAAACTTCTACAAGATATTTCATATACTATTCATTCTACCTATTCAGTCATTTCAAAAAAATAAAATCTTGTCATTTACCGCAATTCCATTATGTTAAGTGACATAAGTCAGGAACAGAATGATAAATACCATATATGTTCTCACTCAGTTTTGGAAGCTGATAGGTCAAATTAATATCTTTTATGGAAAAACTCTTCAGACAAGTTTTTTTTGTCACTTCCTTCTTTTCCTCTCTTTTACCCATACCTTTCATAAGTTAATCTTTATTATTCCACTGAAACTACTTTTGCCTAAGTCACCAATGAATTGTTGCTCCCTAAGCAGTGACTTCACACTTTATCCTACATTTGAACTACATTGAGATCACTTTTTCCCCCTGCAAAGACTTTCTTCCCTGGACTATGATAATGATCAAACTTCTTGGTTGGCTTCCTACTTTACCATTACTCATTTTCTTTCTATTCCTCTATATTTGGCAAATATGCTGGGCTGTTTTTGAGTTTCTTATTCTTCTTAGCTACATTACCCTTACATCCAACATCTTTGCTTTAAATCACATCTACATGTTCTTGATTAAAATTCTATCTCCAAATTCATACATCCAACTTCTTGCCATCACCATTTCTTGCTAGGGAAGATTTTTTTTTTTTTTTTTTGGCCTACTCTAAAGCCAATCTCTTTTCATTGTAAATAGTTTTATTCTGGTACCAGTCAGATATCAGCATGTCTCAGGTAAGTCGAACTAAGCCTTTTGTATTAATGTATGACAAGTGGTTCTACCATTTTGAATTAAAGAAGAGATTCTGCATACAAAATTTCAAGGAAATATACTTTCTTACTCAATTAAAGAAAGAAAACTTCTACTCTTTGTTAATATACTTCCTTCAAGTTCCTCTTTCTGAATGAGGAGGCCTGATACTTGCACTGCAGCAGCCATCTTGGAGAGGGAAGAGAAGACAAAGAACAGTATACTATGCACTTACCAAAAGTCTAGCATTATGGGGATACCTCACAACCACAGCAATATCTTCCTCTTGTTGTGGCTGTGGCCAACCCTCTAAAATCTACTAAGAATTGTGTGCGAGTGCATGTGTGTATATGTGTGTGTGAAGGAGAGGGAAAACTTTCCTGATTAAACCTTCCTGAAATGCTTTGTTATCTATAATCAAATATGGACTAACACAAGTTTATGCACACTTGTACATTTGCATGTACATAGAAAGTAAGATTCAACCTACCCAACCTCTCCCTCCATACAGGTTTGAATTCTCTTAGAAGTCCTGAAATATAATTTTGAATACAAGTAGTTTACTTAGAAGATTATTCCAGAAACATTGATCTTGAAGTGCAAAGTCACACAGGCAATAGATAGCAACAAACACAGAGTATGTAAACAAGCTGATTATCACTGTGGGCAACTGGAGCAAAATCTCCTGGGGAAACTTTGGTAAACGGTATGGAATGCATGCTCAGAGTTACCCTACCCTGGGGATGACAAAGCTGGCATTTGTATACCAACTTCTCTAGGCCTCTGCTGCTCAGTGTGTTAAATCCCTGGCACATCTAACCTGCCATGAATGCAATCAAAACGACATTCTTTGGCTTCAGTGAAAACCCTCAGGCAAATAAAATGCAAATCCTCACAGTTGGACTTGGCATCTAAAGTCTGAAGGATATAGTAGATAAAAGAACCAACAGCATTTGTTTTGTTAAATCTGTTGCCCTGTGCACTCATAACACTCTACATAGGTTTATTCTGTTATTATTCCATCTTCAGAGAACCACCAGTCAAATTTTCTTTTAAAATCGAGAATACAGAGAGTTAGTATGGCAAGCACCATTCCTCACTGTTTTACTTAATGCCAAAGTTACAACTCTCATTCGGCACTTTTTGATTCTTGGGTTTCATGTGCTTTTCAGGCCATGCATAATGCCTTTTTCCATTTATAGTTGTCACTGAATTTGGAAGCACCAATTGCTGCCCAGTGAATTGCCTAAGAACTATATATTATTCTCTCTGACTCTTTATGAAAAAGTAATCTCATCTTTTCCTGATAGAGCCAATTATCACGGCAGTGTGGCAATTCTTTCTTTGACTGCTAGTCTCCTTGTAGAAAGAGTTCAAATTAGATGTAGTACTATTTTCCCTAGAAGGTCATCTCTAATTGATTCCTAGAGTCCAAAAATGTACCTGTTGGAAATATAGCACTCTACAACAGCTGCTGCCATAAAATATACCCAATAATTTTAAAAGTGATGACCCAAACACTCAGGGTGCATCCTCAAACTAGTATTCTTGTTATGTCTTTAAAATTCATTCAGTTTTCTACTAGGCTGGTAGCTTCTGCTTGATTGATTATATAATAGTATTTGTCTTCTTTCAGTGATGCCATGATCGTATCTTCATTATCATATATCTTTCATTATAAAGTGAGTCCCAGGCCCAATAAAATATCTATAGCATCCTAACCCAATGATTCAGATATTCTCTGATCTCTCTATAGTGCTGCTTGCCAAGATCTTGTAATCAGGAAAGGCAAGTTCATAAAAAGAATGTGTATCCATGCCAGGAAAGATGAATCACTTTCTCCTTTCAAGGAGACAATTTTTTATCTAATCAGCTTGCCACTGACTTATGGGTCTCCTCAGTTGATGGTGCCAAAATGAGGACTCTGAATCTGTCCTAGCAATTGATGGCCCCTGCAAAAGGACTGATATATGACTTATATAGAAACATAAACTCCATCTCAGATACCATGTCTGAAGATTATATAGGAAACAGGACTAACAGCCATGTGTGTTACATTCCTGCAAAGTAATTGGTCTATGTTTTGTGCATGTCTTGAAACATTGTATGGTGCTGAATTTAAGGATGGTGGACTAATTAATGTGGTTGAAGAAATTTAATTTTCAGGCACCCCAATATTCAGATTATGGCATGGATACTGCTGACTGATTTATCTAAAATTACAGTGAGAAGTCAAAGCAAAAAGCCCATGTGAAAAGTGCAATTTCTGTAAAATTGGAGCCATGGTGAATAAGGATGATGAAAAGATTAGCATTACAAAGAAGCCAAGTACTTTGCACAGGAAGAAGAAAAAAAAAGATGCTTTGAAGACAACACTGAAATCAGTGACTTTACCCATCACAGGCTCAAAGATGCAAAAGTATAGACCGTTCATTTGAAGAGAAAACTCCCAGGCTCTCTTTGGGATAAGAGGCACCTACCTAAGGAATAGATTTCCTCAGATTCATTCCATTGCGTTCAGCCATCCAGGTACTCAGCAGCCACTATAGTGGTGGTCCAGGAGGGCCAGGGTACTGCTCAGACTCTCTACAGACCTTGGCATCTTCTACGTGGTGCTGATTTTGAAGGCATATAAAATGCATGAGTTACGATTTCATGGAGACTCCCAATGGGATTTTAAATGAGGGCCTGCGAGGACAGTCAAGTGCCTGAAAGAGAAGGACCTGAAAGTGAGAGAGTTAAACCAAAGGTAGAGACCCGGGAAATTGAAAGTGCCAGAAACGTGGAACATCTACTGAGGAAAACTCAGCCCATGAGCTGAGCCTGCCCCAAAGAGAGGCTATGTGGACTGTAATCAGCAAGTCCATAGGGGTGGGCTACTCCTGCCACAGGTGCTGGACATGGACAAGACTGAATGCTCACCCCACTGGGATCCCATCATGCTTTTCTCCCATTCTTTCTTGTATCACTCTTCCTCCCTTTCAGGACAGAAAATTTTGCACTGTACATTGTATGTTGGAAGTACTTAACTTTCTTTTTTATTTTTTCAGTGACTCACAACTAAACGTTTGCATTATGAAGAGGCTGGGATTTGAACTTTTCAACAGTGGAACTGCTAAGAATTCCAGACTATTAATAATAGATTCACTCCATTTTGCACAATGAGTTGGACATGAAATTTTGGGGGACCAGGGCCAGAATGTTATGATGCTCTTAAAAGTCTCACACTTTTCTGACCAAGGTCTGCTCAGAAGGGATGGGTCAGTGCAAGTATGATTTAGGTGTATTTTCATCCTAACTCCCCATCTCTCTGTTTTCTTGTCCCCATTTGGGGAACAAATCTCTTTTGTGAGATGACATGACCTATTTCACTCTAGTAAAAATGGTCCACCCACGCCTTTTCCACACTGCACAGGAAATCACCTATTTTTCTTTTTTTCTACGTCCTATGGATGACGTGACCCTCTCTGCGTTTCAGCCATTATCATTTCCCAAACTGAGCCTGGTTTTCTTCTTTAATATGTCCACTTCCCATTGCCATGTGATGTCTTCTGCCTTGGCCACCAGCTAAATGCTGTAGGGTTATTTTTCAAGGATGGTAAAAGTTTATTAAATATAGTAAAATCACTTAACCTCTTTCAGCCTACTCTAGTTGAAGTGATAGATCATATCCTTTTAAGAGTCCCTTCTCTTCTCTTGAATGTAATTAGGTTTGCATGATATTTAGCAAGAAAATAAGCATATATGAAAGTTTTATGTATTTGAAAAATAGAGCAGACCCATGCTACATTGGAAAGAATTCAGTGAGGTATGAAGGAGATTTATCGTACTTTTTATGTTATCAGGATGTTGTTCAAATACCAATTGGGGGAAACAAAAAGGAGAAATTTATGATGCTTCTGGGACACCTTGATGAAAGAACTATTGCAAAAATTTCAAGCAGTACTGTTCAGTTTAAAATTTCGTACACTATCTTGACTTTGAACTCCACGTGTCCACAAAGACTTGTGAGTTGCTCTGCTCTGGCCAGAAATACTGCTCACCCAGAGAGAAAAGGTCTCCACGCGGCTAATTCTCCCTCAGCTGGGCAGCTGCACATGCTCCACCGGTCCCTCGATCTATTCCGAACACCCACAGAATTATCCCTATCAGTCAATCATACCCTCCCACACCTCACCCCTGTGAATACAAAGCCTTTCCCTACCAATCCCTGTTGATTTACTCTACTCTCCAGTGCCGACTCTAAGAACCCCTGCTACTCTCCAGTGCGGACTCTAAGAACCCCTGCATGACCTTTGTTGTCCTTCTCCTGAGGGAAACAAATACATGTGACTAATAAACTGCTGTGAGCTCAGCAGCACAGTGTTGGGCAGCGTGTTTCTAGCCATCACGCATTATTTATGCCAGGTACCTCTACCCACAGAGAAATAATGGGTACTCCAAATACAATCGCGTATCTGGAAGGTCAGGGTGTACTTTTTCAGGAGAAATTTTTAAGTAAAGATTAATTATTGCTGTCACTCAAAAGTGCCTAGGTAAGCTGCATATGTGAACATCAAGAAATAATAAACATTTATTAATGTAACTTCAAAAACATACTAAGATGATTAAAATAATTATTAATTGGAGTATTATGGAATGAGATGGGTGCAGAAATAAAAGAGAATAACCAAATAAATAAATAAAATGTGGGACAGTGGTAAAGCATATGCAATGATATGTCAAGAACTAAAGAGAAAATAAACAAACCCTTTCTAACTGAGAACTCCCTGTCCAAATTTTTTTTTAATGACAATACATGTGCATGGTGTGTGCGCACATGTAAAATGAAAGCTTGTTTTCTGTCCTGCAAACTCTCCTATTTTAATATTAATTTTGTGACTGGTGACTTTACTTACCCATTTTAAATTTTCTAATAGCTCAAGCTCACTAGGTTAAGGATTTCAGAAATACCTCCCTATCATCTATAATTAATGTTATCAAACTTGTTGCCTCTTTTCTCGGGAGTGTTCCTATTTATTTTACTTGTCTAAGACAGATGAGTGGTACATCTGCAATGATAATAAAACATCAGTGCTAGTACCACCTGTTGTCCCCTGACCTCTACAGGAACGCTTCTAGTGCTTTGTGATTGATGTCTTAGTTACTTTCTCATCCCTAGGACACAATGCTCAGCACCTTACACTTGAAGATGGAAATATTTATTTTGTTCCCCATTTTCAGTTCAGTCTGCCAGCTCCCAGGTAAGACGACAAGGCAGAGAGGCAGAATGGAAACAACACAGCGCACACCATGGTGGCTGAGAAGCACAGAGAGAAGGAGGGAGCCCAGGCAGGGGAGGCAGTCTTCCAGCTCATGCCTGCAGTAACCGGTCTCTTCCAGTTAGACCCCACCTCCTGACAGCAAGTAAGCTGAATATCCCCATCATCCAGCCACCTTCCAAAAACCCTACCTAGGATGCTGGGCGTGGTGGTGCAAACCTGCAATCCCAGCACTCGGGAGGCTGAGGCAGGAGGATCGATCGCTGTGGGTTCCAGACCAGCCTGGGCTACATAGTGAGTTCAGGTCAGTTTCAACTATATAGTGAGACCCTGTTTCAAAAAAAAAATCCAAAAGTCCTACCTATGGACACATGAGTCACTTGGGTACATCTAGATAGATATAAGCCTTAACAATTCATAAAAGTTTTGATATTACATTTTATTATGAAACAATACAAATATTTATATAGTCATGTTAAAGGAACCTTTTATTAATATATTTTCTCCTTTTTAAACTGGAAATGAAAGTTGGATTTTATGGTGTGTAATTTTTATATCTACAATTAATCATGTTGCTTTCTAGCTTTGGCATCTTCTTAGAAAAATATACTAGGTTTTCTTTTATTTATATTATTATTTAGAGGAAGCACTATAAATATAATATATATAATATATAATAATATAAAATTCAAGCAGTTTGGTTCCATAGTTGTTCTCAGATTAATACATTGAGTGATGCTATCATCACTCAATATTCAAGCCTAATTGAAGGGAGATGGCTCATAACTTTAGCTATCTTTTGGTATACTGAGTTCCAGAATGTTTCATTTTACCTCCCAAAGAGTGATCCTTTTGGGGAACTGGGCTCAAACCTCAACTGTCTTCCCTATGGTCCAATGGTGTATGTCACTATTATCACAGATTTAATGAGTACAATTTCTCTTCTGTATAATCAGCATGGGTTTCTGTTTCCACAAGGGGAACTATTTTGATGCCGAGATTTTTCCCTGAGGAACTACATAGTATATTCAAGTTTACACTGTAAATTATCTGCAATGTTCCATTATTTATTCAGAGGTTCGTGTTTTGAAGAAATTACTTTGATATAAACACATAAGCTTTCTGCCAGTTACAAATGTTATCTGTGGTATCTTGAGGGCCTTCCAAACACAATGTTTGGTACATAGAAGATGCTCAATAAATATTTGATTGTTGTTGTTTCAATCTGTTTTGAAACATGGGTTGTTATTACAGAGCTTACATGGATATCTTTAGAAAATATTAACTGTGTAGAAAATTCTGTCTTATAAAGTGCTATAGGAAAGGTTGATGAGAAAAAACAATTTCCGTGTATTATGGAACTATAAGGACTTTAAAAATGCTTCCATGACTCCCTTAAGATTTTATTGCTCTTTAACATGACAAAAACATTTTTATCTATTATTTCAATTCATCTTGCCAGAGTGTAGCATAAGCTTTTTGATGGGTATCATTACTGGTTTATTTTCAATATGAAACAAATGAGAATTATATATCAGGTAATTTACCCAAAAGCAGGACTTAGCTGTGAAGGCCAAGCATAACTGTCAATTTAGTTAGCATAGGAACGGCCTACAGAATTAGTAAAGCACATCTCTGGATGTGTCTGGGTAGGTCAGGGAGGTGAAATCTTGGCTCTTCTATACAATCCCTGGCCTGTTTTTCTTTGGTGCTATTCTCTTGCTCTACTTTCAGCTCCCATGAACTAAACAGCTTTGCTCTTCCTTATTCTTCAGTAATCATATTTCTGCCTTGAAGCCAGCCTACCATGAACTTCATTGCCTGAAACTGTGAGTCAAATTCAGCTCCTCTTTGAACTTGTGGGTGTTAACTTATCATGTCCCAGTGACTAGAAAGCTAAGACATTGGTGACACCTGAAGAACATGTATCTCAAAATTTAAACCCCGTATTTCTGAAACTTCTAATAAACATGTATTTTTGCTAAATATTCATGGCTCACTTATATCTATCGCCACATTTCTTATTTATAAGAGATCACATTTAAAATAAATACTGATCTTCGTGACAAAAGGTGTTTTTTGTTGTTGTTGTTGTTTGTTTGTTTGTTTGTTTTGTGGTACCTGAGATCAGACTCGGGACTTTGCTCTTGCTAGGCAGGTGGCAGCACCACTGAGCTAAATTCCTGGCCCAATAAATACTAATCTTAATCCAAAAACCAAAAGGAAGACAAAAGTCACAAAATGAGTGCTTGGCATGACGCCCTCTACTGGGAAGGTAGTGGAAATGTGTTATTGCTGGGAGAGG